TATTGTCAACTACAATCAGTTTCAAAAGTCTTGGGACAGATGCCACAAAACCTTTGAATTTCAACGAAACGACAATCCCCCCGCCCCCTGTTCAATGTTGTGCCCCATTTCTCGTTGGGTTTGATGTGTTTTGGTTTAAACAACATTGATTGGGGTGGGGGGAGGGGGAGGGGAGCGGTATTGTGTGTAAAAAACTGTAATGATCCACTTAAAAGCTAAAACTACATGTGCCCCAACAACTTCTGAAAGTGATTGTCTGGGCCCCATATTTCATAAGATCATTGTACATCTCAAAAGTACACTGGGATAGAATGCTCTGCGAACGAAGTATTTCAGCTCGTTTTCGTTCACAGAAGATCTAATATAACATTATAGAACAATTAAATCTCATTAAAATTCTCAAAGTTAATATTTAACAGAATATGAATATAATTTGTTATGCCATATAGCATTCTTAATCACAAAAGTTTTATACGTTGTTTGTTGCTACAAATTTTGGCAGAGCACATGTAGGTTATTTGGGAGGTTATAGTCCGTCGATAAAGATAGGTATCGCAAATGTTTTACGCTAGATATGTCACAAATAGTGTTAATTTATGGGATAGTAATATAACATCCGGTTACTTTCGCATGTGGGTAAGGGCTGAGTCAACTGCTAATTCGGGTACTCCGAAGGTAAAGAACGTTTGATTTTTATCACCAATAGTCAATGTGACATTTCACATCTTTCTAGAGCAGAATTTGCAGATATAATTGTCGCGCATGGGTACGAATGAGCACTCAGTGGGTGGGAATTTCGGAAGGGCGGTATATATAGTATATATAGTCACTTTCACATGGCTAAAAAATTGTCCGCAAGATCAAGTTGGCGAGCTATCGGAAAGCTCGAGAAGAATAAATGCGGCATTTAATTGAACTCAGTCAGACAATCCCAAAAATTTCTATTCAGCGTATTCTTACATGGTAAATAATGACCCGGACTTCGTGATTTCTCCAGGGCTTATAGACCTCCCTAATGCTGACGCGTTAGCAAGTACTAGCGCGTGCGACCCGCAGAAGCAAGAAAGCTGCACAGGCTTCAAAAAATATGTAACGAAAGGGACTCGCAGTATACGGCGTTGTACGCATTATACAACACAAAGTTAGTGCTATACGCTAATTATGCTAATAAGCGTTTCCGGACCAGACGAATGCAATGAAACTAACATCGGTTGTCACTTCGATTGTCACTATAGAAATATGAAATAATGGGCAAGTCAACTAGGCAGCTTTTAAATCAGAACAAGGCTAAGAATAATTTGTTGAGAATGTCTAACAATGTATTTGCTATTAATGAAATGGTTTAAAATTGATTAAGCCAAGTTTTGGATCGATTGACACTTTTCTACATAAATAAATCTAATTTATTATATACGTACCGTAATATTCACACTCGGCAAGTGCAAAGATAAAACTCATCTACGACACATTGCGTAATTGAGACGATGTTCCTCACATGTGAAAAAAATCGTCCGACCAATCAGAGATCGCGGACGATTTTTCTCACATGTGAAAAAAAAGTATCGAATTTTCCCGCCAATTACCGGCCAACGCTTCGCTCAGTCAATCGCTTCGAAATATTATAAATGGCTTCCCGTTTTGCAAACCTTGGCATTTCTGTCGACCAATTCATCGAACAACAAGAAAATGAAAACACAAAGAGAAAAACTGAACAAAATCTATCATTATTAAGTGAGTTTCTTAGTAGCAAGAATGAAACTAGAAGCATTGAGGACATTCCTTCTGCGGAATCAAACCTTTACATGAGCGAGTTTATTATTAAGGTTCGTACAAAACAAAACAAGGATTACGAACCAAATTCCCTGCGCGGTATGGTAGAAAAACTATGGTTTAAGTATCATGAAAGATCTACAGTTTGAACAGACTCGAAAAGCTTTGGTTTCAAAACAAAAGGATTTAAAACGACAGGGAAAAGGAAATAAACCGAATGCTTCGTCTGCTCTCAGCGAAGACGACATAGCTGTTTTGTATGAAAAAGACTTGCTGGGCACATCCAGTCCCGATGCTTTACTGAACACTCTTTGGTTCAACAATACAATACACTTTGGATTACGTGGCTGTAAAGAGCATCGCGATATGACTTGGGGCGACGTGAAATTACATAAAACGGTCTGTGGCGAGGAATATTTGGAATACAACGAAAGGCAATAGAAAACACGCTCGGGGGGAAACACCAGAGATGTGCGAAAAGTAACTCCAAAAATGTTTTCCGTACCAGGAAATAAAGGAGATCCTATTGCTGCGTATAAACTTTTTGCGGAAAAACGTCCGGCAGAAATGAACAGCGACGATAGCCCAATTTATCTTGCTGTAAACAATTTAAAGAAACCTGAATCCGTTTCATGTAAAGCTTGGTTTAAAAAAGCCCCAGCCGGGGTTAATAAACTAAATTCGATAATGAAGAACATGGCTGCGAAAGCTGGACTTACTACCAAATTTACCAACCACATCGGAAGGAAAACAATGATACAGGCCTTGGTAAACCAAAACTTTCCACCAACAGACATTATTCAACTGTCGGGCCACAAGAACCTGCAGAGTGTTACTCATTATTCCACTGTCAACGAGTCACAGCAAATGGAAATGTCGAGAACTCTCAGTTCAGTTGCCACTGGAAAGCTGAGTCATTTGTCTAACTTGACCACTGGAAACTCAGGGGTTGAAGTTCACTCGTCGACGAACAGACAGAAAACGACAAGCGAACACAATGTCCAAGAACAACATGCTATGCCGGCGCTGTTTTCGAACGCAACGATAAGTGGAGGCAGTATAAATATATCAATAAATACTCTCAAGCAGTCTCCAACACTATCTATAACAAATGTGGATAGCCCACCAAAAACATACAAACGTTTAAAACTTCTGAGCGATTCTGAGTCAGATTGAACTACAATTTTTTGAAACAGTTTATACAGTTTTTATAGCCACCGGTAGGTGGCGACAACTTGTCTAATTATGTATTTTTATGTGTTGAGTTGTCAAATGGCTTCCTTTTGGCTATATTAGATCTTCATAGCTGTATATGTTGATCTCGATGTTGATTGTTAATTTGTTAGGATGATTGTTTTCACTTTTTCATATGTTAAACTAATAAACACATTTGATTTGTCCTTGGAACATTCAAGTCGATTGACTTTGTTATCAATTGGCCACCGTTACAAAGTCCTTTTTGTCGATTTATCACAGTTCATTATATATATAATAAACAAA